AGAGAAAGCCTACGACTGAATTCACTAATAGTCTTTTTTCTTCTTTATTGCTTTTTCCAAGTCATTAACAAACGTTGACTTCAGTTTTTACCATCAGGTGACATGAATTGTGAGATCTAAAAAACAGCCTACAACTGCCTTTGAAACAATAAATCTTCTGCTTATTACATAAATGTCAGATATGACTGCCATGAGCTATTCAAATACACTAACAAGCAAAAGAGTGTTTTCTCGTATTTCTGAATAGAAAATAATGGTTGATTTACTCATAAATTATTTTAGTTTAGATTTGTCCCATAAGAGTATCTTCATGTCGAGGTTACCCAGTGTTGAAGGTACAGGCTCCCTTCCCAGTGTCAAATACTCTGTCCTTCCTTCCTTCCATTCCATTCCATTCCATTCCTTCCTTCCTTCTTCCATTCCATTCCATTCCATTCCATTCCTTCCATTCCTTCCTTCCATTCCATTCCATTCCTTCCATTCCATCCTTCCATTCCTTCCATTCCTTCCTTCCTTCTTCCTTCCTTCATTCCATTCCTTCCTTCCTTCCTTCCTTCTTCATTCTTCCTTCCATTTCCTTCCTTCCTTTCCTTCCTTTTCCTCCCTTCCTTCCATTCCTTCCTTCCCATTCCTTCCTTCCTTCCTTCCTTCCTTCCTTCCTCCTTCCTTCCTTTTCTTCCTTCCTTCCTTCCTTCCTTCCTTCCTTCCTTCCTTCCATTCCTTCCATTCCTTCCATTTCTTCTTTCTTCCTTCCATTTCCTTCCTTTCTTTCATTCCTTCCTTCCTTCCTTTCCTTCTGTGTCCTTGTGTTGTTTTCGTTGTTCCTGTGTGTGTGTTTCTTCCACATGTTCATGTCCGTGTTCCTTCCTTGTGTGTTGTGTGTGTGTCTGTGGTGTGGTGTGTGTGTCGTGTCTGTGTTTCCTGTGTTCCTGTCCTTTGTTGTGTCTCATTTGTGTCTGTCTGTGTGTCTTTGTCTGTGTGTCTGTTCCTGTGTCGTCTGCGTCGTGTCTTTGTCCTTGGATTCTTCTTGTGTGTCTGTGTGTGTCCTTCCTTGTCTGTCTGTGTCCTTGTGTCCTCGTCTTTCCTGTTCTTCCTTCTCCATCCACATTCAGTGTGTGGTTGTGGGTTATGTGTGCTCTTCCTTCTGTTGTCCTTGTGTCCATGTCCTTCATTCCATTTCTCCTTCCATTCCTTCCTTCTTCGTTTCCACTTCCTCCTTGTTCCTTTAGGCTTCCTTCCTCCATTCTTCCTTCCTTCCATTCTGTTTCTTCCTTCCTTCAGATTCCATCCCCAGCTGTCTTCCTAGATCTTGTACCCTGTACAACCCGCCCCACCCTCCTACACCTAACTCCTCCCCCACCCTCTCTAACTGCCCGTCCCCAGGAAGTGTCAGCCTGGTGCCAGAGATCCTCCTCTGGGGGTAGATTCAATTCTCACCTCCAGTGACTAGCCTGCCTGAGTTCCATATCATAGCCATCTTACACAATACACAGCTTATTATAAAGGATATTTCAACAGTCGGGCGGATTACATGGCATTACAACAGATCTCTTTGAACATAAATTGTGAGAAAACTATATGACAAACAGTTTGACCTCCTAATCCCCTCAACAACAAAGGCAGGTCAGGAAAAGAGCATCTAAGATAGCAACTATTATTGGAATGTCATGGGGTTTTGTCGCCCTACAGGGGAGGTAATTATGCTGTCAGTGTGGATTTGTCTCCCCCTGACAAAACTCTTTGATGTTGAAAACCATGATTTAGCTATGAATAAACATGGCCGATCATTAACTACTCCAACCTCCGTATCATACTGTCTGACGAATAAAAGAATAGCTGAGTTGGGAAAATGACTGGGCATTAGTTGAGGGCATTTGTTCAGCGTGCTCAGATACATACTTAATAACAATGATCAGCTCTGACTGACATCAGTGATGAGGGGCGGTGGGAGGTACACTGATCAGAGTCAAAGGGGGAGGTTGAGAGACAAACACACAGTCAAGAAGCAGCCCAAGAAATATATTTTTAATAACACTACTCCAAACTATAGCCAACCACATTTCACTGGTTCTCAGCGGTAATCCTGCTTGAATGAGACATAAATGTTTAACATGTTTTCATGGCTGTGACTTTCCAATTTGTAACAAAATTCAAGAATCAACAACTGGTTCAGAAACATCGCTCACAAATACTACTAGTCAATGAGAACCATCATTATTCAATTTTCACTTGTCTTCAGCACAAATTTGTAGTCTTGGGCTTGCAGGCCAGCATGAATTTCAAAGGAAGTGGAGGTTAGGAGGACTCGAAATCTGAAGTTATTTCCATAAAACACAATGAAGCAGATCAAATGTTTCCAGCAAGATAAATCCGTTACTGAACTTGAAACCTTGGCAAATATATACTTATGATTCCTACTAACTGGCACAAGATGTCTCTGTAGACCAATGTCTCTGTACCTACCACAGCATTTGTTTATATTCCCGATCACCGGACTATAAAACAAAGTAGTAATCGCCTTCATAAGTCTGACTGACTGAGTTTTGGTTTTACGCCGCTTTTAGCAATATTCCAGCAACATCACGGCGGGGGACACCAGAAATGGGCTTCACACATTGTACTCATGTGGGGATTAGAACCCCGGGTCTTCGGCGTGACGAGCCAACGCTTTAACCACTAGGCTACCCCACCGCCCCCCTTCATAAGTGAAGTACTTTCGCTCCTTCCCATAGTTCATCAGTGCATGACCAAGTATTACTGTTAGTTATGCATTGACGAACATCAGGAAGGAATGAAAGTACTTTGAACATAAAGATTATTTGCGCGCCATCATAGTTCATTTTTTCTACTTACTACTAAGCAATTATGGATATTCTATATAGATCTTACACTTCATAAGCATATGAACCGATTCATGCCGCTATAACTTATACAGTAGAATACTTTTATAACGAACACGGATATAACAAACTGACGGCTATAGCGAACTGTTTTAAAAGTCCCGAATAAACCTTATATTATCATATAAAAAAGTGAATAGCGAACTATGGATATAACGAACTAATTTCAGTGGTCCCTTGGAGTTCGTTATTAAGGTATTTTACTGTATTTAACTTGCTAGGATTGCCATTCAGCATGAGCGTATTACCCCTTTAAGGTGCATATATTCCTATCCAGCATCACCCCTTCTAAGAAAACCTATGGTCACTATGAGATATACTTCCAAATGATACAGCTAACCATCGGCCTGGTTGTTCCTGTTATACACTGATATACCACCCAAGCACTTTCTGTCACAGCTACCTTTGAAATCCTCACACATCATGGAGAGGGATTTAAACCCAGAAGAACCTGCACAACCATGGACCTAGTGAGTATCCCCTTAATGGCTGGATTAGGACTTCATCTTGTCAACCGGGATCGGGTGGTCAGGCTCGCTGACTTGGTTGACACATGTCATCGGTTCCCAATTGTGCAGATTGATGCTCATGCTGTTGATCACTGGATTGTCTGGTTCAGACTCGATTATTTACAGACTGCCGCCATATAGCTGGAATATTGCTGAGTGCGGCATAAAACTCAACTTGTCAATCCTTGTGGGGTATTGTAATACTCTACAATGCTTGGCAAAGACATTTAGGATTGTCAGCAATCGATAGGAAGCTTGTAGCAGCAAGAGGACATGGCACTGAGAGAGAGAGAGAGAGAGAGGGAGGGAGGGAAGGAAGGAGGGGAGAGAGAGAGAGAGGGAGAGAGAGAGGGAGAGAGAGAGGGAGGGAGAGGGAGAGAGGGAAAGGGAAGGAGAGAGGGAGGGGGAGGAGAGGGAGGTAGAGAGAAAGAGAGAGAGAGAGAGAGAGGTGAGGTGAGGTGAAATTGGGTTTTACGTCATGCTTGAGAATATTTCACTCATATGATGACGTGCATGCGTATGTGTATGTGCGGCTGCTTGTACTAGCCCAGACTGAAGCTGGTTTTATAGTGCTAGCCCACTGAGATACCATGCCGCAGTGAAGCATGAATAACCCACTCAGACACATTATACTGACTCCGAGCCGACCAGTCCTTGTTGTACTCATTAATGCCGAGCGCCAGGCAGGGACCAACAAGTACCATATTTTAACGTCTTTTGGTATGACGCGGTCGGGGATCGAACCCGCGACCTTCCGCTCTCCGGGCGGACTCTCTAACCACTACACCACGGAGGCGGTCCGAGAGAGAGAGAGAGAGAGAGAGAGGAGGACTTTGAATGGAAACATAGTACCCACTTGAATGTCTTTGGAATAGGACGTTGGCGAAGACTATCATAAAACTTACAGTTGTACAAAATAGTACATAAAATACATTGAGTTACCATATGTGCATATAATATGGATCGAAGAAACGATTTTGCTCACAATGTTTCGCAGAATAAACCTATTTCAAATATTTCACAAAGTTGTTACTGATGTTAATGATCAGCAGGACTGAAGATATATCATGGACACCTGTGATGTAATGAACAATTGGTTAAATCAAGACATGTGACAAACCAGTGACTGAAATCATGATCAACAGGGGGCGGATGGGTAGCCTAATGGTTTAAGCGTTGGCTCGTCACGCCGAAGACCCGGGTTCTAATCCCCACATGGGCACAATGTGTGAAGCCCATTTCTGGTGTCCCCCGCCGTGATGTTGCTGGAATATTGCTAAAGGCGGTATAAAACCAAACTCAGTCAGTCATGATCAACAGGGTATTCCATCAGATGATGTGTAGTCCATCGGTTTCAGTGTCTCATGATCCAATCTGCTGCTTCTTAAAGCCGTAAATCTCCCATAGGGGACATGTGATGTAAAGGGCAATGTAAAGGGTGATGGTCACAATGTGCAGAGGCTGTCTGGTCTTGAGGACAAACAGCTACATATGGCATGACGATATGACCATATGACAAATTATAGGATTGGGGTATGGGGTGAAATATGGTTGTTTTAAAGTACTGCAAGGGTTATATCTTTGTACTCACCTTTACTAAACGCTGTTATTATGAACTTAAAGCCTTTCCCAGAAGGGCCCGCATCATCCGTCCTGAAAACAGAAGAATCAGTTAGAAACAAGCATCCAGCATCATTTGAAAAAAGCCTCATAAAGAACATCTAAGGAATCACAATTTGCTGTGAAAAGATGCCTCTCTTACCCCATCCCTGCCTTGATTATGTTAACAGACAATGGAGCTGGTATGCACTTTGCTCACAGGACTCGACATTCACGCTATCCCACTGGCCCGGGTCTAGTAAAATGTTGACAGGACCAGTGATTTTTAAAAGTTACTGGTCCTGTGGTCGTAAGTAAACAGGTGCATATTATTCTTTTCTGCTTCTTGATTGGATAATTATTTGTTCAGTATGACAATAAAGATGACAAAACAATGTCATTTATTTTGATGAAAATATGTCTGTTATAATTGGGGCAGATAGTGCATCATTCCAAATATAATATGGCACTGATGGCAAAGCTCTAATTCAGTCAACAAGCAATGTTAATATTACATACATTGTTTTTACAAATTGAGAAGAAAAACAGGAAACAAAGTGGTAGTCACATTGAGTCTACTGTAGTTTTGTTCAGCTGGAATATTGCTGAGTGCGGCGTAAAACTAAACTCACTCACTCACTCAGCATAATAGAGGTTGGTTTTGAATTGACTGACATTTAACCCATCTTCCCACTCTCTCAGCAAGAGTAACTCATCTGATGGCAGATTGAAAACTCGGAAGCCATAATTTGGTAAATTTTATTTGGTCTAGTTAGCTCAGCTGACACTAATCCACACATAACACCTAATTTTGACTGAAAAAAAAATCTCTGAGAGACAGGTCTGGACTTGAAGATGTTTTTTGGCACAGACAGTAATGGAGACATGGGCAGCCATCTGTACAAGGTCAGACATCACAGCTGTCCACAATTAAGCAATTGCTACATTCCCACATTACCCCCTCCCTCCACAGACGGAGCTGGCCATGCAGGGAGGATGTTCCTGCCATGGTGCACAGATACACACTGACATACGGTTGATATACATTTATGCCTCCTCCACATCCTCCAGCTCCTCAGTGTCGCGCTGCTCTCCAGTCAGTCAGTACATCGCAGCCGACAAAACCCCAGAATCCCAAGCAACGTGTTCCGACTCCAGGTTTAACAAAGCAAGGAAAACATTTTGTGGAAACAATGATACTGCCAAAGCAGCATCTCCAAAGCATATAAATAACTCGAGCAGGGCTAATTAAATACAGATCTGAAGCAATGATAATGAGCATAAGTTCCCCTGTAAATAGTCATCAGAGTGCAATCTTGGTGAATGGGGCAGAAGAGGAGGAATTCCCATGTCTATTATGATAGGGAACAAGCACCTGCTCCTTCCATCACAGCTAGGTAATTGTGCCTATAGTGCCCCCAGGAACAGCTACCTTGGAGCCTGGCGCAAAGGGAGAATGGGCCGTGGCCGATGTTATCCCAGGCCTCAATGGAGCTGGCTTAACCTCTGCTATCTGTCGGAAGCTAATAAAACAACTTTATGCCATGTAGATCGGACAAAAACAGGGTCCCACTGCACCTGTGGCTGCTGTTGTTGCATGCTGATGGGAAGAAGACTAATTGTCAGAATCGGATACCTGTCGTGGTAGCTGGAACAATAACAGTTCAAGCTGTAAACACTTGCTGTGTAGAACATGGTGCCAAGCCTGAATAGGATGTGCTTTCTTGTCTTACGGGGTTATCTGTTTAACTGGATCATTACGTCTCAACATTAGCTGCCTTAATGACCAAAAAACAAACCCCTGGTCATTCTTGAATTACACCCACATGGCTCCACGCTGAAACCTTTACTTTGCTTATTGTCTTTCTAGATTTTCGTTCATTGTTCACAAATCTCCTAAATGTTTGCTTGGGACATTTATCATGGCAGTCTGTTCCTATTCTAGGGTACATTACACAGTAACGTTTTTCTTTCTGACATTTGAATTATTCCTTGCATTCTTTTGAAATCAAGCATGTAAGCATACACAGCCTCTTCTTACCCCATAATGTCTAGATGGCATTGTCAACAGTGTGTTTGACTTGGCATACTGAATTAAGATCATTTATTTCCAAGAGTTTGGGGGTCACACTTAGTTGTCAAACACCTATCTCAGTACAACATGTATCCTGCATCCATGGGGAGATGGTCCAGCTTTCCCTTGAGCTGATAAACGTCAGTCTCAATTTGTCCTACCCTTGTCTATACTAAAAAGACTACGGAGACCTATCCTTGTCTATACTAAATGCTACTGAGTCCTATCCTTGTCTATACTAAAGACTACTGAGTCCTATCCTTGTCTATACTAAAGACTACTGCGGAGTCCTACCCTTGTCTATACTAAAGACTACGGAGTCCTACCCTTGTTTATACTAAAGACTACCGAGTCCTACCCTTGTCTTTACTAAAGACTACTGAGTCCTATCCTTGTCTATACTAAAGACTACGGAGTCCTACCCTTGTCTATACTAAAGACTACTGGAGTCCTACCCTTGTCTATACTAAAGACTAGTCCTCACCCTTGTCTATACTAAAGACCCTTGTCCTAAAGACTACTGAGTCCTACCCTTGTCTATACTAAAGACTACTGAGTCCTAGTCCTATCCTTGTCTATACTAAAGACTACTGAGTCCTATCCTTGTCTATAATAAAGACTACTGAGAGTCCTACTTGTCTATACTAAAGACTACTGAGTCCTACCCTTGTCTATACTAAAGACTACTGAGTCCTATCCTTGTCTATACTAAAGACTACTGAGTCCTACCCTTGTCTATACTAAAGACTACTGAGTCCTATCCTTGTCTATACTAAAGACTACTGAGTCCTATCCTTGTCTATACTAAAGACTACTGAGTCCTATCCTTGTCTATACTAAAGACTACTGAGTCCTATCCTTGTCTATACTAAAGACTACTGAGTCCTACTCTTGTCTATACTAAAGACTACTGAGTCCTACTCTTGTCTATACTAAAGACTACTGAGTCCTACCCTTGTCTATACTAAAGACTACTGAGTCCTACTCTTGTCTATACTAAAGACTACTGAGTCCTATCCTTGTCTATACTAAAGACTACTGAGTCCTATCCTTGTCTATACTAAAGACTACTGAGTCCTATCCTTGTCTATACTAATGACTACTGAGTCCTATCCTTGTCTATACTAAAGACTACTGAGTCCTATCCTTGTCTATACTAAAGACTACTGAGTCCTATCTTTGTCTATGCTAAAGACTACTGAGTCCTATCCTTGTCTATACTAAAGACTACTGAGTCCTATCCTTGTCTATACTTCCTATACCATCAACTCTGATAGTGTCAACCATCCTGTCCCACTATGCAACATGGTCTCCGTTAAATGACCACCTGATTTCCTGTCTTCACTTAAACATATTCTTTTTCAACCTTGCCTGCTCATTCCAATACTCATTATTGCCACCAAATGTCCCCCGCCTCGTCCAACCTGACCCGCTCTTTCCTAAATCCATCATTGCCACCAAATGTCCCCCTCCTTGTCCAACCTTCCCCGCTCTTTCCTAAACCCATCATTGCCACCAAATGTCCCCCTCCTCATCCAACACTGTCCTATCCTTCCAATATTGACCGTGCAAAACAGAAATAGGAACCTCACTATCACAACCTGTCCCATCCTTCCAATATTGAGCGTACATAAACCAAATAGCAACCTCACTATCCCAATCTGTCTCATCCTTCCAATATCAACTGTGCATAAATCAAATAGCAACCTCATTATCCTTCCCTGTCCCATCCTTCAGAAAAACATCCTTGCCACCATCAAATGACCTCTTCCTTGTCTAAATTTGCCCGGTGTTTCTCATACCCATCCTTCTGCCATCCAATTGCCCAACTCCTTGTCCAACCTTGCCTGCTGTTTCCTATAACCATTCCTTTTGCCACCTAATGCCCTCCCTGTAGCTCATCCATTGGTCACCAAATAACCCCCTCCTTGTCCAAACTTGCCAGTTCTTTCCCACACTCATTATTGCCACCAAATGCCCCCCTCCTTGCCCAACCCAGTCTGTCCTTCCAATACCAAACCTGCTTCCATGAAATGTATATTGGTTTCTGTCCATCCCCCTACTCCTTCCTTTCATTCCATCTTCAATTATCTGGTTGTCACCTCCAAACACTAATACCTCTGCAGTTCCTATCAGCATGTGTCCCAGATCCCAATAAATCCCCCAGCTTACAGCTTTGCCCAGATTTCAACAGGCAGCCTGCTTGACTCCATACAAATTTCACCATATTAGTGAACATCATTATGAGCAGAGTTCTCGAAACCTTATCGCAGTTGCTGCACAAGTGTTAATTCCTGCATTCCATGACAGCAGTCTGTCACTGATACCAGACCGATACGCTGATCCTGGCACTAATACTATCACTACAATGCTGTTGGGCTGTCCTCACAGGTAGCTTCAAGGGGCGCATCCCCATAACATTCATAGTCCCTATATGGGATTAACTGATTGATTATCTGGTTCTGCCAGTGCTCAGCCGGATCACTGATGTCAGATCTACATGAAATCATAGTTTAACCTGGTCACAAAGGCACCATTATCAATCTTCAAACCATTCATCTTGGTATTCCAATGCTGCTTGTTCTGCTGTCTGCCAGGTTGACCAACCAATCCCTGTGTAGTTGCTTTACATTATAACACTTGAGGCCTTTTACCTATGTATGGCAATGTTGCTTTTACCAATGGCCACGTTGTCCTACCAATTCCTATTTGTTCCCTGACACCAACAACATCCTGAAGCGCCTTTAACCTAGGTAACCTAGTCTATCACTCAACAGTCAGATTCTTGCATTACAGGATCGGTAGAGTGTATCACAATAATACCTATAGATACTTGTCATGGTACAATTCATTCTGTAGGAGAGTGAGTGAGTGAGTTAAGTTTTACACCGCAATCAGCAATATTCCAGCTATATGGCGGCGGTCTGTAAATAATCAAGTCTGGACCAGACAATCCAGGTGTCAACAGCAAGAACATCGA